ACAATGACATAAAGTGAGCGAAGAGAGATTTCGTGTCGCAATATTATATTGTGCTTTCGTTATATTCCACGGAGAGAGAGAGAGAGAGAGAGAGAGAGAGAGAGAGAGAGAGAGAGAATGAGAGAGAGAGAGAGAGAGAGAGAGGAGAGAGGGGCGGGAGAGGGGTGAGAGAGAGAGACGAGCTCGAACGTCATTCCTCCCGACATTTTTTTCTTTTGGCTCCGTTGCTTTGTGCAAGCTTGTGAATAAAAATTGTAATAACGGGAAGATTTCAATAACATGCACAATATAATGAAAAGAAGATATCAATTCTCCGAATAATACGGAGCCAAAGGTTTCCTTGTTGATCAATACCGGATTCAGACCCGACACTGTGACATTTTTACTGCCGTCGAATCGAGAATTTTTGGTGGAATTTACACGGTCTTCCAACCACCGTTGCTTTACAAATTCTCCACGATGCATATTCAAGCTGACGTTTTACTTTTCATTGCGACGAACCAGGGTTGGAATGTTCACAATGATCGCTTGTGCGCGATGCTTTTGAAAATATTACAATTCCAACAAATAAAAGTCCCAAATATACTTATACGATATTACTACTATAATTCTGTTAGGATTACGATTCAAGATTGAAAATTAAATTCGATGTGCAGTTTGTAGAATTGGATGAGTATATAAATTCACACCGAATTATTTAAGCACAAAAACTCCAGCTTGATTATATAGGGCTTTTATTTTCTATTTTTGTTGTGTTTTACTTTACAGTTTTTTTTTTTTAAATACCTCGTTTAATATTCCACATATTAATTCCATTCATTGTAAGTGGCAAAAGAGATGCTGCTCCCCTTTTCCATGCAGTCGCAATCACGCGATCATTCTTCGCACGGATCGCTAATCCGCAATTGCAGAATCGCGATGCATCGGAAGCGGCGCGAATCGCGAATTTGTGATACGAATTGCCGGTGTCTCGTGGCATTTAAACAATCGCAATTTGGTACCACGCAATTGCGAATCCAACAACGTCATCTTGGCCTATGTACATTAATGAGTGGGTCGTCGTGCTTACGTTCCGTACGACAGTAATTGCAGTGAATTATGCAATTGCATGTCGCATAGGCGTGGAAAGATATCGCCAATAAAAAAGGTGAATCGAGAGTCGAAAACAAAACGAACGTGGTTCTAACATTCGCAGGTATCTAATGATGGGTCGGCGAGGAATTTACGTTTCAATTATTAGCAGGTGAGGCTGCAGGGTTTTCATGCTTTATATTTAAGGATGTTTTGTACATATTTTTCAAAATGATAATAAAATTATGAAAAAATTACAGATTATTCTAAATTACGTTTAAAAATAATACGACAAACTTGGTAATCTGGATCATAAGTTATTTTAATAAATAGTAGCATTTTTTTAAAATCTGTACTTTAATAAAAATATATGGAAATATACTATAAAATAAATAATAAAAATCTCAATTTTTTAATATAAATACATTGTGTATTCGAGATTTACGTAGAGTTATACACTGCGATGTATGAACTAGTTGTTTAGTAAAAAAAAAATAAAAACTATTTATTTGTTTTAACCAGTGAATTGCATAAAACTTTGCTATAAATTATTTTCAATATAAGTATTACTTATAAAAGAAACTACAAAAACGTGTTATTAAACCAAAATATAATCTTATTTACACAGCTTTCATATGTATATAGTTTATTTGGAGTTTTTATAAATATTAAACATACTTCCAAATTTAATTTTCTTTGCAGGAATCGTACGTCTAATTAGTCTAATACATTAAATTCCACGTATAATTTATTTGTCAATTTGATAGTTCTGCGAAGAGAGAACATGCATAAGAGACATAAGCCGCGCACGTATCGTTCACACTTGTTCATCATTTTACACGTTGACGTTCGACATCCTTGATAGCAGTGCGTGTATGCATCGTAAGATAATTATCTATCGTTTTAATTACAAGAAGCACGTATACGAACGTGGCGCTTCTACTACTATGACTAAGCGTTCCTGCGCGTGAAACGTGCGATTTGGACACGTGGGCGCTGAGAGAAGATTGCGGGAGGGCTACGGGAATAATAGCCGCACCTATGCATCAGGTTGTTATTACGAGTGCACGAAATTTATCTATTCTCGGAGTTAAGTAATAGGCGCAGTCGTTTCGTTATCGTTTACGTCACGCATGAATATGCATGGTGCATGCATATGCATGGCAGTCTCCGTAGCACAGATGCATAAAAAGAGCGCGAAGCCGTTTACAAAAGATGACCTTGGAATCGAAAGATACGACAAAAAAAAAAAGTTGCATATTATTCACGTCGTGCGCCCTTTGTAACGGACCGCTTTTTTTTTTTTTTTTTTTTTTTTTTTTTAGCGCGTCGCACATATAAATGCCACTATTCTCGCCGTAAGCAACGAAATTTATTTAATCACTTATATGCATAAAATTTTAATAAACTCAAGTTGGACTAAATGGACGGATCTTTATTTATGAAATACAGCTATTAGTCGCACTCAAATGAATTTTATTTAGCCATTTAATTCAGCCATTTGAGACAATACGCACAACTATGTCCGATTTGACTCAGCTCGTCGGGTAAAGATAGTAAATCGTTCTTCTAATCCGTATAAACGCAAGAAACGAGAAGACTCCGATTCCTCGCCGTACAGCGTATTTCTTTTTCTCCCTGTATTTCAGAGAACATTTATCTGTATTTATCAGTACACGGCATTGGGAGAATCGCATCGTGTACTTTCCCACAATGATTTATTGGCTCCACTTCTACCTCGCTCACGTTCCCTTCTTTCCCTCTTAGTTGCATTTTTTTCCCCTCGGATTGGGTTTCAAGGAGTTAAAACGCACAAAGTAACACGTATCCTCGGTCGAGCAGAAACGAGACCGGCCGTGTGTTTCCGTAAGAATATTGCGCGAATTCCGGCGCGATCGGCACGGGTACGCTCACTTTTGGCCGCGTTTAGCGATGGGGATGCGGTGCCCCAGATTCGGCCGAGTCTGCTCCAACAGTCGTTCAACCCTCGGCCTAGATTCGCGGCACCCCGCGCTGACGTCATTCACTATTCCACACGCAGGTGCTCGTGTCTCCCATGTGATAGTCGCCGATATTACGTTTACACGCGGACACGTAAACCCACGGTATTCACACGGACACACGTATACGTGCACGAGATACCGCGTCATCCCCCCCGTTGCAGTCTCAGAACTCGAGACACCGTCGAAGTGATGCGCGAACCAGGGCGCATTGTCCTCGTCAGGCTGTATTATGCAACTTCTCCCTTGATTCACCGTCCCTTTCTCATCCCCCCCCCTCTCTCTCTTTCTCTCTCTCTCTCTCTCTCTCTCGCATCTTTGCCAAGTTGGCTTTTTTGTTGCCAGATTCGCTGATATCGTTTTATATTCATGCATCTCATTATGACAAGTACGATTGCATCATTTCTAAATACCGGACTGCTCTCCCCGGAAACTACCTCTGGAAAACTACCTCTAAAGTTAATGTTAAGCTACTGCAAGAATCAATCAATTGTGTTGGCCAAATCAAGTTAAAAATAAAATTGCAATTTTTATAAATTAAAATAGTGACTCTCTATAATATATTGGTTTCAATAGATTTTTAATTATTTAGAATGAAACTGGATATCTATCATGTAACATGTCGGAATGAATTTCGATTGGAATTATTCCATTTTCCCTAGAAAACACGATAGAAATCTAGGGAATAATTGAATAATTCCTATTGGAATCCATTCCGACTTGTTCCATGATAGGTGCCCTGTTTTTTCGTTTTTTTTTTTTTTTTTTAATATTTTATATTAAGGATGCGTTCCGAGTTACGCATGAAACGCATGATCGTTTTATCATTCTTTATTAATTGGTAAACAACAAGGACAAATGATGCATCATGCGCTTCATACGTAACTCGGAACGCATCCAATAAAGAAACGACACTTTTTACTAGAAGAAAACAAATGAGTCTTACTGTTTTTCCCTAAATAAATTATAAATTATTCGAGCTATTTATAGTATTCGAACTATTTATATATTATAATAGGCAATTTATGTGTAATTTTAAGATTACTATAAAGAAATTGATGTGGCATTTTTCTGTTTGATTAACGATATCGATGTAATGAATTTTACAGAATAATGCAGGTACTAAGAATGAGACATCTTATTATGCCTAATGTATAAATAGATATAATCAATGAATGACGTTCATTTATCGGATTTATACGTCTCTCTCTCTCTCTCTCTCTCTCTCTCTCTCTCTCTCTCTCTTTCTCTCTCAAACGACAATAATAATACATGATTACGCCTGACATAAATCGGAAAATTATGATCGATGTACAAATAACAGGTTCCTTTTGATTGTATTTTCCATAATGAAACGTGAAACGCTATCTTGATTTATGACAAATGCTATACATTATGCTCTTATTACAATTTCTTTTTCCTCTTTTTTTTTCGTGGAATATGATTATTACGTCTTTTTTTTTTGCCAGTTGCGAAATGACGTCTTTCGGGATAATAAATACAAAATAATTCCAACTTAGTTATAAAAAATTAATGACACGTTATTTTTACTCAGCGACTTAATTATGTATAATAAGCGAAATCATTAACGGACCGATTACCATACGTAATTAATTTTATTATTGTTTTTGTTAGTTTAATACATCGACATTTTAATATAACTATATCTTCATATACATATATCTATATATAAAACATTTTGATATATGGAAATCGAGTTATTTCTACATATTACGATTTTACGTTACGCTCATTCAGTACTTTGCATAATTAAATTATTTTCAATGATAACGAGCTCGAAATAGCCTGTAACACTTTTAATCCAGTTATGCTCGTTAGTTATAATCATTTGATTATAACGCTTTCAAGAAAAGCCATTAAATTTTCTTCTTCCGTGAATTTTGAATTTCGTTTATTCCTTTTTTTTAGCTCACGGGTTTCCTTCAGCAACCTATCCCGTACAGCAGCATGTCGGAGGTCCGGAAATACGTTGTCGCCAGGTGGGATCCCGCATATAAGAACTGCCTCAGCATCGTCCTGCCTGACGGTTCGCTTCTTTTGCAAGCTAGCAACGCTTACACGAGGGACCAGTGGTATCACTCGATATTATGGAAGGTACGCTAAGAATTATTATTTATTATTGAAGAGAAATTATTATTTATTCATTTATAAGTGAGTGAAGAGGACCATATTCAATGAAGGGTCTTAGTACCTAATTTTAGGTTCCTTATAATATTTTTCTGTGAATTTTTACAATTTCCATTTCAAGCAAACTGCGCACCGTTTGCCATCATTATATATTATCTGTTATATAATAACTAATTATCATGACAGCTAATTATTATAATAATTAATTATTTTAATTAATTATTTTCATTAACGCAATTATTTTAAGCGTAAAAGTTTTGATGAATAAAATTTATAAAATTGACGTTTATAACGCAATTCGTTGGGATTTATTGGATTTAACGTTCATATTTTATCTGACAATCTTACGAGATTTATCATTGTTTGTTTACCATGTAAATAGCGATAATGATTGATGGACTTTTTATCCATTTAACTTACAACTTTTTAGCTAACGGTAACATTGATGTGTACACTCATCTTTCTCGACCGTTGGGATTTTCCGAGCAAAGAATGATTATTGTTCTCGTGAATACGAATGTTGATATAAAATATTTTTTTTAATATTGACCTTTCGATGCCTTACATAGATCGGCAGAGAATGGCAAACATAGGCGTTATTAACGCTATGTGAGGTTGAAGCAGGAGGAAGTGATAACAGCGCAAAAGGCGAACGTTCTCGATCGTCCTCGATCGGATCAAATCTCCCGGATACGTCAGTGTTTTATGGAGGTTGCCGCGAGCGGTTTAATATCCGGTCGGGAAATTAATCAGTGGCCTCTCGTCGTGGCCGCGCGACGAGTAAATCGCAGCGATCGAACTAACCATAACGATTGAATTTTATGGTTTACGGCGTTATATTTCTGATGAAAATATCGTCCGTACGTTGACGACCTGAATGTCGATGACTTCTACCTATTTGTTTCAGTTCCATTTCCACCTTTATATATGGATGATGCGTTTTGACATTTAATTTTTAGCAAAGAGAATTATTTTTAAGTTAGCAGCTAATAATTTTTATTTCTCTCGTTGATATTAAATGTATTACAACGATGATATTAGGCTCGAAAAAATTCAGATCTTTTAAGTCTTCTTTACTTTGTTATATATTCCCGGTTGCTACCTTTTAATTAGTTTTTCAGTGTAGATCGACGGTTTTTCTTTCGGAGATTCTGCTACTCTGGCAAAATCGATAACCACTATCAGAATCATTACTTTCTCTCTAGTTTTTCTGTGGTTTTTAAAAAAAAGTCGACAAGATTGAATCGTTAGCTAAAGATTTTTTTCTGTTAGCCGGAGAGTCGAAGAGAGAAATTTTTTTCTGTTGGCCGGAGAGTCGGAGAGAGAGAAAGATTCTGCATCCAGAGAAAATTTATTTGATTTCAAGAAATTTTCTTTGCTATACGGTTAAAGAAAAAATTTCTTTGATTTATGAAGAAATTTTTTTTATTTAAACATTATTTTTTTAAATCAAATAAAATTTATTTGATTTAAAGAAATTATGTTCAAATCCAAGAAATCATGATTTAAACACTATTCCATGGATTTAAACATAATTTCTTTAAATCAAATAAATTTTATTTAAATCGAAGAAATTTTTTCTTTAACCGTGTAGCAAAGGAAGTTTCTTTAAATCGAAGCAACACCCTTTTCTCTGGGTGCGGCTGAAAATTGGAAAGGTAGCAATCGTGTTATACACCCTTATACGCTATTTTTTGATTATACAGTCATCATCTCGTGTCTAAGGATCTTTTTCTTTTTGAATTCTTAATGGTAGACCTCGCATCGATTAAACTCGAATTCGAATTCGCGAATGATCCGGAGCTGATTCATCTTCCCGCAGAAAAGTATCTTCAAATATCAACATCTCGTCTCGACGAGCTCTCGGGAAGAGGTGACATTGCGCGAATTGCGCACCATGGTGGACTTTGCCCTGTGGACACCGCTCCAGGACGAGAGAGTGGCAGGCGCCCCGCTGGAGGCGGTCGCTAAATTGTTGGACGAGCCCAGCATGGAGCCTGACTTGGATGGGAAAACAGAGGAGGCTGTTCACGATCGCAGGAGCTGGGCGGAGGCCGTTCTCGCCGTGGTGGCTCCGCTTTTGGAAAAAGCGGCACCGCCGGCGGCGCTTGCGAGGGTACTCGCCAAACTGGCGCAACAACATCCGCGATCGCAACTGGTCCCGATGCTCAGTCCGGCGATCACGAGATGTCTGAAGCATACCGTTGACTTTGGCAAGTCGCCGGACATGAGAAAGCTGTTACAGGTAAGGCGTCTGACAAGTCTCACGTTACTTTGTTTGATTATAACATAGCGGGTGGCGGGATCGTGGAAGATCATTTGTTTCCTTTTTATAAGAATTATAGTCTTTCAATCTTTTAGAGTGAAAATTGAGCCTTAAAAAAAATTAAAAAGAAATTTTACTCCGAAGAGTAAAATTTCTTTTTAATTCTTTTTAAGGCTCAATTTTCACTTAAAAAAAAAAAAAAACGGAAAAACGAGACTTTGCTACTCTGTCGATTCTAATTAAGTTAGGTGACTTGTAACTTGGGATAAGTGATACATGAATGTGTACTTTCTAAATTCTTGGAATAGAATCTCATTCTAAAGAATGGAAACTGAACCAGTCTTGGAAAAGGTTGGCTCAATTTTCAGTCTTTTAGGAGTGACGTTTCGCTCTTCAGAGTGAGATGTACTCTAAAAGTTTTAGAGACTAGTTACGATGTTGCATTACGAACGTGTAGGTGTTCGTCGCCGCTTTGTACGAGAACAATGACGGCGAGCAGGCGATCAGGGATTACATCTCGTCGGTTCATGGACCGGGTAGCGATTGTCCACACCCGAGAGTGCTTCCCAATCTCATGTCCATCTGCGTCGCGGCCATATTCCACAGGCAAGTTTTGCCCGAGTTGTAATGGAATTGGATATTCGTATCGCAAGTCTGACGAGATTCTCAACGACGTTGATTTCGATTTCTCAGGTTCGAAGTGTCGGGTCGCGCGTCATCGAATGAGGACAAGCCACCGTCGTTGCCGCCATTGCACTGTTATTTGCTCGTCTTGAATATCGCGTAAGTGTTGCGCTCATTGGCAAACAAAGCCTGACATGCTTCTCCGCATCCTTTCTGCTCTGCGCTTGAAACTTTCGAGTATAAACGCGTCTCACGTATCGAGGAAACGACGTTGTAGGTCGGAATACGCTGACTGGCGTTCGGGACTTGGGGCGCTGCTGCAACCCGTCCCATTCCCAGAAGAGGCTTTGGCCGTGAGAGAAGTTCAGGAGTCCGTACTGATGTGCGTAATGCAACGACTGGCGAAAGACCCGAGATGCACAGTGCATCGCGTCTTGCTGCCCGTCAGGGAACCGCGTCCAGGCTGGATTCACATCGCTGCACCATCCAGCCCGGCTTGTCCAGATCGTGGGGAATTATTCGGCGAGATGGTAAAATTTTATCAAGTTTCATTCCTTTTTTTTTTTTATGTATAAAGACTGTAGTCAATATTTGTAGACTGTTATTTTAAGTATTATCTTAAAATGCTAATACAACTCTGTGATTGGCTTATCTTATAAGACTTGGCTCATAAGACTGTTTTTAAAATCTTAAATATAAAAGCAGATTATGAATATCAGTTTACGTAATGTGTTTCTTTTGCATAATTACGTTTTGTTCATAATTTTAGTGTAGAGTTTGTGCTAGATTTTACCTAGCATTTTAAAATACCGTTTTCTTAGTTTGTAAAAATTTTATTAATTAAATATGAGAAACCTTACATTGAAGAAAATGATGTATCAACAGCATTATTTTAATTAAGAACAATCTTCGTGATTTATATATGTATATATAAAATAAAAATATTATGAAACAAATAAAATTTTATTAAAACAAAATCATGACGTATTTGTTTCATTAATAGTATTCTTGTGAATTAACAAAATTATTTTCAGTTAAAATAATGTTGTTTATATAACATCATGTTTTCTCAGTATAAGAACGACATAAACACTATTTATCAGACGGACGGAGAGTAATGTTTACCTAACTCATTCATGATAATAATTAAAGAATCACATTTTTTTAGTTGTGTCACTTTGAAGTAAGAGAACGATGATGTTTGCAGGATTTATAAGGGACGTTTCACACATACAGAAAGTTTCTTTGATGTTAAATTTTTAATTAGGCCCTCGCGAAGATTAAAATATTTGAAGCAAAAATTTACAGTGTTTATACCATATATCTTTCCTTCTTTAATCTTTGTCTAAATTGTTTCTACTGCCTTCTATTCAAGTCGTACGTGGCGAGAGATATAAATATCTAACGGCGAAATAGAGAGAATACGTGCGGATGGATACGCAATTAACGCGCTTATCGGCGCAACGGTATCAAATTTATTCGCACGTGAAATGATTGTGGTGTATTCAGTAGCGTAATCTCGCGAACCAAGCGTTGCGAATTGCGTCTTTCTGGCTTCCGTGCGATAACACACACCGTAGTAAGATCTGTTTAGTTCAGAAACGATTCATCCCCTGAGAGGTCGAGGTGTGGCAGTGACGATTACTCGACGCGCTATTCGATTGGAAAACCAGCTAAATATTCATGAATCGCTCTTTTCAGATAGACGGGCGTCAAGAATGGACCCGTATAGACAGCATCAATTCTAATTCTCTCGGAAATAACCACGGAATCGAACCGTCACGGAATCGCGCGGAATTAATGAATTTCGGTTGATCGCGGAATGGCAAACGGAACGAGAGGATGTCCGATGACTTTTGCATTCTAAATTCCGTTCTCAATTACAGTAGAGATTATATATCCACCGTCGATTCCGTCATCGAGGAATTTTAACGAGCGAATAGAGAATCCGCGATACGTTGCCCATTTTAACTTAAATTATAATAAATTAAGCAAATGCGGGGAAACTTTCCCCATCATTTAGAATGCACGTTACACGAAATATTCACTGCGACTGGCGTTATAATGGCGTGTTCTCCACAGCTGACGACTCTGCTGGCGTGCTGCTGTCGGCGGAAGAGATTCATCGCATCCCTGCTGAAGCAAGCGGGCGATGATTGCATTTTGCTGGCGGTGCGAGGCTGCGACGCCGCGCAGGAAGCGCTCTGCTTGATGCTCGAGTGGCGCTTACTGCCGAACGAGGAGGCGAGACTTCAAATAGTTAACGCGCTCGAGTCTACGGAATCCGGAAAGGAGCGGTACGCCGCTCTCTGCCAGAGACAGAAGAATCTCCAGGAGTTGGTAAGCGAATTCGCGAATCGTTTCGATGCGAAGAGCCACCCCTTGGCGCTTTGATTCTTTCTTTCGTTTATATTATATATTAACGTCAGTGATAAATCGCTGATAAATTCTGGTGGATCCTAAAGCGATTCTATATATCGCACGATATATGCACGACATAAATTTAAACAAACGAGGCACGTAAATATTTTCCTCCTTTATTGGATTATATATAATGCATGAATGATCGAACGTTTCGATTATCTTTCGAGTCCTTCTCAGTAATTAAATACAAAGAGCTAAAATTCATCCTTGGTCCATTAGGATTGAGTCACAAAACAGGTTGCCAAATCCTGTGGTGGTGTTAATCTAACTAATTCCAGACTAAAAACACGTATAAAGAAGGTATAGATACAATTTCTTAAATTGAAGCAATTCTTGAATTTTGCAAAATAATTTAATGCACAAGAACATATTTACAAATCACACGTTCGCAGTTAAACGTCCGTACTGTTGGATATAAAAAGAGCAATGATAATCTAATTCCTTGAGTTAAATAACATTTTGTTATTTTTAACTTCCATATGTGTTAAAATGTAAATTAATTCACTTGTGATTAGTTTCAAAGTAAACATCGCTTATATTAACATACGCCTTTAGTAAATTAAATTAGAGTCAAATTTAATACATTTTCTTGAATTAAATTGTTCAACCCCATTGTTTTAGTCAAATTAACGACATATTGTGTAGGAGCAGTGGTGGCCTATAGAAATGATTAAAAACTCCCAATTGAGTGCAATTTAATATTATGAATTTAACATTTATGAATTTAACAATGTTGAATAACATTTTCTATCTTGATTTTACTAGCAACAAAAGGGCGGGCCCCGGAAATTAACGCTCCCAGTTCGAGCGACCGACGCCGACGTTGCCCTTCTGTTAGGCGGTCGTGCTCTCGGTAATCTCGAATGCCTCAGTTTGGCCTTCACCTCTGTGACGTCCGCGTGCGCGGAACAATTGATAAAGTTACCGGCGCTGAGATATTTGAACCTGTGGGCTACACAATTCGGCGACGCCGGCCTACAGATGATTAGCGAGCATCTGCAGAAGCTGCAGGTGCTGAACCTCTGCGAGACGCCAGTGTCCGACAAAGGCATCTCCACGTTGGCCTGTAAGTATCCTAATTCTCAAAACTTCAAGTTCAGATAATAATTTGCCTTTTTTATTAAAAATTATAATCTTCAAGTGTAGAATATGAAATTTTAATTGTTCAATTTCCATTATGTGTTGTTGTTGTGTGTGTGTGTGTGTGTGTGTGTGTGTGTTGTGTTGTGTCAATATATCTTAAAAAACGCGTAAAAATTTATAGAAAATCATCAAGAATGGCCGTATTGCGTGCGAGTTAAAAATGAAAAATACATTTAACTCTCCGCCAACAGCATGAATTTTAACTCTTCCATAGATATTCGAGAAATGGAGCAAATATTTTATTGTGTTGTATAAAAATCGAATTATATAAAATTCTAAAAAAAATTCTGGTATATTTGTTGAAGCTTTAACAATGAGTTTTTACTATCATAGAAATCGGATTACATTTTTTTTACTTATTTTTTACAGATTTAATTTTATCTACTAAAATTTACAGTTCAAAAGATCGAATTTTGTTAAGACATCAGGTGGATCAAACACATTTAATGTTATAATAAATTCAAATTAATTTTTATTTTCAAATTTTGGCTTGATGTAACGGAGATAGTATAAATTTCGGTCTATCGCTCGAAGAAAGTGTTTTACCGCTTTGTTGCAGCATTAACCAGCCTAAGGAAATTGAATCTTAATAGTACGAAGCTGTCGGCTCAGACATTTGAGTCGTTGAAGAAGCGACTACCGGCCCTGCAGGAATTCGACGTTCGATACACGGAGGCCTGGTGACCCTGGTTTGAAGTCACGACATCCAGCACTTCGCCCAACGGCGGTAGTGTTCGTCGTGACTTGAGAACGAAGAAGCAACGCTGAGATGTTTGGTCGTCCCGAAGAAAATTCAACAGACGTCACGAGGTGACATCCGTATTCTCGGTGTAACCAATTCAAGTAAATATCGAGCATTGGGCGCTATAAATTCGTTTGTTTTGCTTCGATTTTGCTAGTACGAGACGCTCGCTATCAGCGTGATCGTTGAAAACTATGAACCTTTGTCAGTGAAGCTTTTCAGAGGAAAGGAAACAAAGTCTTCTACACTGTGCAGGATCAGTGAAGAGGCTTTTACCGTAATTTTAAGTATAATATCTTACGTATCTCGCTTCTTCTACTTTAATCGGTCGATGATTTATTCTTTCCAGAGGACGATAAGTATGCGCGATGGATCAACGGTTTCAATATTTCCGTGTGTCCATTAAACGTATTTTCCCATGTCAACTGTATTTATTTACACGAGATATTAGATCAAGATTCTCTTCCGAAACTCGTGTCAGCTAGACGGCTTGATTCCCGCGGCGAACATTACTTTTAAAGTGTTCCTTCCGCATTCGTCGTCGAAATGGGAAACTGCACTTTTCAGGAAACATTCCAGAATCGCGAATTCAGACGTCACTTTCCAGGAAAGACGTGCATTCGTTTGAATAAATAAATATCGGCAAGCGCGACGAGCCGTCTCTCGGACATTTGCATAGAATCCATTCGATATACGGCAAGGTGGCACATGTAACGATCGCGTCGAAGAGTCGCGATCGTTAAAGCCGGAAGACGCGAGTCATTTGCCCGGAAAGCTGCCCATCTGGGGATGACGGAAAGGAGGATTTGCATAAACGCGATGTACCGTGCAGCCTCAATATAACGCGCCTCAATGATGATGAAAAAAAAAAACAATCGTTGACGATCGCGTGATTTGATCGTTGACGGTTTTTTACGCGGTTGCGAAGATCGGTTTCGTCGAGCGTCAATAATTTTTGTTAATAATAACTCTATCGCGACTCTTTCCTCCGTCTATTTTTGAGAAAAAGCGATTTCGTTTTTATGCTGTTAGAAGCACAATGCAATCTTCCTCTTTTCATCCAGACATAATTCCTTGTATCTTTTACATATGCCTGTGTATCATTTCTTAACGATATTGCTTTTTATCATTCGCGCCGATAAAGTTGAAAGTCGTTTCGATCCGCCGCGTCACGAGAAGACACTTTGCTAATAGAAGCGCGACGTCAGTGAAAAGAAATAAAATATTTCCGGCGAGAGAATAGCTTCGCGTAGAACGGAGACTCGTTCTCTGCCTGTAACTTGGCTTCTCATGCAGAAAAATTGTCGGACGCTTTGCCAAATCATCATTGAATAGATGATGTTGATTACAAGAGTCTTGGCTAACCGGCGAAGATTGGTGATGATGACTATGATTGCGACGATCTCTCCGTGATCTCCGACGCGAAACAAAGACTGTCCCCAATCGTGTGTCAGCGTATTGCTGGACTGCAGCCGCCAATCGATCCCTCTGCGCGAAGTGTCCTTTTCCGTCGGGGGACACTACCGACTTATCCTTTTTTTTTTTTTTTTTTTCTTCAAGGCGTGCCCAACTGCCTTAATCAGCGAGTTCTGAGCGACCACTGCCACAACGCGTTGCGTCAGCGAGCGTGACTTTACTCTAGCAAAATGAAGGAACGAAGCTTCGGAGCGTCCCGTGTTCCGTCGCGAAGTCGGGAAGCCTCGCGTTCCACGCTTAAGATCGGAGCACAGATCTCTGCAAAACGCATAATGCATTAAGCATGAGAGAATAAATCAATCAGAATATTTACAGTCTATGAAATGGAAGATTGATTGATTCTCATACGTTTTATGCGTCACGCAAAGATCTGTGCCGAAGGTCTTCAGACGAAGCTTCGAGAGCCGCGAGTGACTCGCAAACATGCATTTCGTTCCCTAGTGTAAATAGATAGGTAGACTGTTAAGGATCGTCTCCCTCTCCCGTTTCTTCTTCGATTAATTAGATAGATTTTAATAATTTATTCTTTAGCTAGAATTTTCTCGTATTTATATATATTACGATAATGTTACATGTATATCGCACGATCCAACTCGTACTAGCGTGAACACGCGTTTAGGGGGATAGTCGAACCTCGAGTTTAGAGCGCCGGGGTAAGAGAGGAGAGAGAGAGGGGGAGGAGAGAGAGGGAGAGAGAGAGAGAGAGAGAGAGAGAGGAGGAGGAAGAGAGAAAGGGCGCCTCTCGAAAAGTGGCAGGATTTGACCGTCACAAGAGTCGCGGCGACGACGATTGACGGTTTCGCAAAAAGAAAATCTCGTCTCGATTATTGTAAATGCCGCAAGGGAACAAGCATTGTAAGAAGACTGTTTACGTCAATTTCAATAAGGATCATTAACTTAGGGAACCACGAATTAATTACTCGAGTTAATTCCTCAGTGTCACACACGTCTGTGAGCGAAGCAAATAAAATTCGAATTTAATACCTCACAGCATCCGTTCTGTCACGCCTTCCATTGTCTCTCACGTCTAAGCGAGATTCGCGATTTTGCGCCGATACTTGGCTTCCGCGCGACTCGTTTCTCTTTTTAAGTTTTTATCTTTAAATCGTTTCCTCGTATGTAACTCTAGCCGTTGCCGTTGCATCGATGAAAATCTATAAAATATACTCTGTTAGACGTGTTACGAGAATGATTGAATGATTCAGCGTTAAATTATTAATAATCGTATCTTTCTTTGACATTTTCGTACGAATAAACTGTTTAATCGAAAACCATTGCCGTCTACATATGTTGCCTGTCATTTACAAACAATTCCGTGTCCTAATTGTCATTCCATTAATATTTATCAATTATCCTTCCACGGGTGAAATATCAAGAATATTGATGTTTTATTTAAATGTCAAATTAATATTTATGTGCGTAAATTAAAATGTACAATTTGCTATATTACTTCGATACTGCACGTGTTGATCGAATGATCAAGATGAATGACGATGCAATTAAAATAATGACGATTATTACTTCATTTTGCTCTATTAAATACGGAAGTAATTTTTATGAAAATTGCACCTTAGAGAGGCATAAATAAAGATCATTAAAATTATTATGATTCCATACCTCGGGCTACAGGTAATATATGTATTAGTCGATACATTGCGACAATGTTCTTTATGTTTTCATAAGAAGAGAGAGAGAGAGAGAGAGAGAGAGAGAGAGAGAGGGGGAGACAAAGAGGTAAGTACGTTTTACTTAGCGAAACTGAAATAATATAATTTTTCTACAATAAAAAAATGAGTAATTGGTTAAATAAGAGAAATATATTCATCATTTTGTGGAATATTAAATATTTTTGTTACAAGACATCTATATATATATATATACACACACACACATATATATGTATATAATATAATTTATCGTAAAATTTTGAACTTATATGCAAATTGAATTTATTTAAACTCGTTAAAAATACGTTATTTTGACGTTTTATTTTATAGTAGATTATAATTCGTTCGTGGCTCCTCGATTATTTAAAAATTAAAATTACAGAGATTTAGATTCAATCCACGTATTTTCTTTTACCCATTGTTATGATAAAATAAATCATCGAGAGCCTGTTTTAAAAGTCGTAATTCATTCTGCGTTGTATTATTTGTTGTTGATACTTGTTAGAAATCTCCACTTCAACTTCTCTCTTTAAATTATCAGGTAGCTGATCCCACACAATTTGAGGCACGGTATCTGAAAAATAATGTTAATCTTATTTATAAACATCATAATAACAGTTTTGAACATTTCCCTGAACATTATTCCGTTAAAAATTTATGTCACATTTTTTTTACATTTATTGGAATAACTACGTCATGTTTTGTAATTAAATTATGATAAGAGTTTAATTTAAGTCTCTGACGCATTAGGTTTCCGCTTTGTAAAAATTGCTGTCGAGATTACTTGCTTTACCTGTGCACTTATACAGTAAATCCGACCAGGTGATCATCTCCTGCGAGAAGCAGTAGACACCCAATTTACCACCTTGCAGAGTCGAGTCGAACACGTTCCCAGAGTCGATTATCTGCTGTGTGCCCTGATACACCCAGAATCTGATCAGGCCGATCTTAGGTCTGTGCAACAGATGCCACCTGTATGATACTCTTGGCTGCCAACTGATCCCCGATTCCCTCCACAAGACCCTCACCTGATTGGGAGTGTCTTCCTTGTGCCAGAGACTGTTTCGGAGCATCTCGCCCGGTCCGGTGTCGGACTGAACGAGCTTCATTACAAACCCAGGATCCGCTTCAGCACGGAATGGGGATGGTTCCCAGTAAACTTGCGCATTTCTCTTCCAGTAAACAACGTAAAAATGTCGATTATCCTGGTAGGAAAAGACGAAGCCCACGAAATCGTCGTCGTCATCGTGGTTATCGACGTAGAAAGTTCCTTCATAGTCAGCGTTACTTAGCTCGTCCGGTCCTTTGGAGATAGAGAAATCGATGAAAAGGATATAATTATTGCAAACGAATTAATTAATAATGAAAAAAAATTAAAATTTTATCTTCTTTTATACTCGTTGAATTTCAAGTACTACGATATAAATAATTGATATTGTATCGGAATTTTAATAGCGCGAATTCCCAGCAGTCTGTTTTTTACTTTCTCTTGTTTTTTAATTCTTTCGGGAATTTGATTATCTTACTTAGTTTTTGAAGTACATTGTAGAAATTTATTGAAAGGCGACTTGAAGATTTTATATGCCTTTTTGTATTTTTACGATATAAACTTACCTATCGCGATTCCAGGATCGCTGTTAAGAAGCTGTTGAATCTCAGCACCATCATGATGAATTCTCCATACGGGATCTTGTTGCGCTGTACCGTATGGATCGAGAGCGATTGTAAAGTATTTACGGAAATCTGTTGTCCATACTAAACTGTTATTTGGACAGTTGTCATGGATATTAATAACTGTATCGTTGTCATTATCGTTCCAGCACGCATCGCCAATGCCATCGTCTATAAAACACAAAATATTATTCTCCACGTGTTTCGATAATATTTCCCTTTCCACAACTAATAATAATAACAACGTTTCACAGAAGGCATTACATTAAAATAAATACTAAATTTTAGTAAGTATTTGTTTGAATAATTTTAAACAAATATTTACAAAATGTATACATTAGGAATTCAATAAAAAAATAATAATTGAATCAAATTAATGGTTTTTGTATCAAATATATATATATATAATATATATATGTTTTATTTATTTATTATAACTAAATATATATTTACTACTTCTATTCAAAGAAATGTTTAATAAATTTTGTTATTGTGCGATATTCTGTTTAAAATCAAGAAAATTTTGAATAACGATTTAACATTTCAATATAGAATTTTATATTTCTGTCAGCGGAACAAAAATCAGATTACAATCTAAATGTTATCATAAAGGAACCCGTTAAAGCTTACGATTAAGATCACGCTGATCCAAATTGTAGACGTAAGGACAGTTATCCCTCCTGTTGGGTATACCATCTCCGTCGATGTCGTCGTCGCATTCGTCGCCCATGCCGTCACGATCGCCGTCGTTCTGTCCGGGGTTCGCCACGTCCGGACAATTGTCCTTGTCATCCTGGATACCATCCCTGTCGCGATCCGCATTGGTATCGCAAACATCCCCAACGCCGTCGCCGTCGATATCATTTTGGTCAGCATTGCTAATACCAGGACAATTGTCGCAGACATCGCCGATGCCGTCCGCATCGGAGTCGCGCTGATTTGAATTCTTTACGTTGATACAGTTGTCTTGATTGTTGGGTATACCTGAACGATAATTCCTTTATTAGTAACATCATTTATTGTTAACAACTTCAACTAGTAACTTTTTAACGTAAAATGATGAAAGAATGCGTGAAAATTTTTAATTCAAAATAAAATAGAATAATAATATTTGAGGTTTTAAGAATAAATCTAATACAAGTAATAAAAAATGTCTATGTGAGCCTCTCTGAAATTGGTACGTAAACTAATTTATGCATCAACATCTGCGAAGATTTACATAATCGTGTGTGCGTGTGTGTGTGTGTGTTGCTTGTATTCTTTTTTAACGTTAAAAATTTACCATCGTTATCCAAATCGTTATCGCACGCGTCACCCTCGCCATCGTTGTCAATGTCCTCCTGATTCGAATTCCAATTCTTCGGGCAATTATCACAGGCATCACCGATTTTGTCGTTATCGCTGTCGAGCTGGTTTGAATTAGAAATGAGCCAACAGTTATCGGTCAAATTCAATACGCCGTCATTATCGGCGTCATCGTCGCAAGCGTTACCGATACCATCACCGTCGGCATCCTCCTGGCCACTGTTCGGTACCGTCTGACAATTGTCAGCGTGACAACGACGGTCATGGCAATTAAGACTACTGTCGGGGATGCCATCGTTGTCGCTGTCGGGACCACAAAAATACCCGTCTCCAGTCCAACCAACATGACACTACGAAAGATTTTGATTAAAAGAGACGAGTTTTAATCAGTAAAATTAGATAATAAAATAGGGATTGTGGTTACAAATTATTATAATTATAAAAATCTAAAGAAAATTACAAAGATGAGGACAGCTCTATTTTTCGTTAATTTTTCGAAATAATATCCAAGTTTACTCCACCAATTGTAAGCTCATATTTTATTTATATCAGTTTTCGTTGGATGATAAATACACAATAGAGACGCTTACCTTGCATGTGAATTCGTTGGTATACATGGCGATGCAATAGGCATTGACATCGCAGACCGTTATCAAATCTGGACAGGTACCTTCCCGAAGATGACATCCTGTCGTTTGATTGCCAACGTAACCACTTCTGCACGGACCGCATCTGTAGGATCCCTTCAGGAACAGAAAGTAACATATTTGAAACATAGAAGAAAATGTTGACTTTAACTTGTTCAACATCCAGCAAACAAACCGACGTTATTTTTCAAGTCATTTTAAAATGCCGCCTTTAAAGTTCAAATAACGTCATGACAACAAAATGACAACAAATCGCGCTAACTTGTTTGAGTAGACATCTCACCTCCGTGTTAATACACTCCGAATAGGGATCGCATCCGCCGTTGTTGGTCTCGCACTCGTCTATGTCCTGGCAGATCTGCTTTCGCGTCCTGGCCATCTCGACACCGACGCCTTCCGTCATCGGCCCCGTGTAACCTGTCGGGCAACGGTCGCATCTGTATCCAGGATGGAGATTCATGCACCGTACTCCGGGGTGACAGGGTCGCGCCAGCTCGCATTCGTTCGCATCGAGACACACCGTGCCGTTACCCACGTATCCCGGTGGGCATGGGCCGCATCTACATCACATATGAGAGATTGACAAGGGCCATAAAACGCAGGATACGTATATTCTACCTGATTCGACAAAATATAGAATGTATGTATACTTGAAAAAAATAATATTAAAGCTAAGCAGACGTGAGAATTTTCATATCAAATTCATTTACATCAAATTTTACATACAAGAATTTGTCGATTGCGTAATTTCGGGAAGACAAATTTCTTAAACAAGCTCTCGTAATATAATAATTTTATAGAAAGAATTTATTTCAGCAAAAATTAGATATAGGATCCGAAGAAAATATGCATTGTGAAACGTTTACTTGAAATACGGTGGACTGTAAGTAGGATGGCATTTAACTTCCGGATGACAGGGGTGACGGTCGCAAGGATTTCTTATCCTCTCGCATCTTTCGCCATCGCCGGTGTATCCGTTTGGACATCTGTCGCACCTGAACAGAATTATACTTAAATTACAACGGAGATTTGTATAGAGTGAAGCATTCTATTTGTTATTAAGAGCTCATAAGAGCTTTAATTTGTCAGCCCTATGCCCATTTCTACTACGCAGATTAAGTTTAATCTTGATCTAACTTATTTTCTATCTTTTTTCAGCTCTAAAAATGAGAAAAGGATAAACAGTAAATTACAAATAGAGATTAAAGTCAATCTATCTATACTTTTATCTTATTCCATTGCAGATTTAAATGCTCATTAGAGACTTGTAGTGGCGTTTCTCTTGCCTGTAGCCATAATCGTCATCGTCGTAACACCGCACCCCTAAGAAGCACGGCCGTTGGAGGCAGGTGATGGGACTGCTTGTGACCATTTTGACGCAGACCCGTCCGTTTCCGGAGTAACCACGTAGACAGGGGCCGCACTGGGGTCCGCTCGGTGTGTTACGGCAATCGACGCCGGGATAGCACGGAGAGTTATGATCGCACGTGGACGGCGGCGGTGTTGGCACTACGGAATTACCGGGATCACGGCTCGAATGACGAGTGAATTGCCAATTTTCGGGGGATTTTCGACAGCCGGTCTTCCATTCGCGCCGTGCACACCGAGTCGAGCGGGCCCGGCGCGGGCCCAGAAAATAATGCGACGGCCCAGCGTGTCGTACGTGCACGTGCAAGTGATATAAGTGCGCTTAAAGAGATTGACTTAAGATCGACGTCGCGGATCCTGCGTATTCTTGATTCTCCTTAGAATAAAGACAGTGTAACAATGGGATGACTGTTACGGATTTGCAAGCGTCTATCTTAATTTTTAATTTAATAAATTAATTATATTTTCTGATATCGAAATGTCTATCCGAAGAAGGGACGAGAGGAAGCGAGTAAAATTTGTCTCGATCACATTGCAACAGGATCTTTATATAAATTGTAAATTTCTAATTGAAGAGAGCAATTAGCTTTCTCGGAGAAATTAGCGACGTTTTGATCTTTGCGAAAAGATCGCGTTTTAAATGATTAAATGATAGCTTCCGCTAGCTGCCCACATGTCGAAAGAGATTGCGCAACGCAAGAATGTAAGAGTCACAACAAAGTTGAATTTTTCTAACAACAGGCATTTATTGCGTTGAAAGATTACTTAATACAACTCGTTGCATATAAATAGATAGTCTCCGCTGACAACTGTCACGTACAGATTAAGTTCGAGAGCGTGAAGGACGACGCGCGTGAGACAGATTAATTAGATTCATTCAACTGTGGCATTACGATGCGGTTTTGGCTAACTTCTAAATTAAAAGAACTGTTATTTTCGAGCACGTGTCCTTTCAATACGACGGAACGTCACTCACCGATGGGTGTACGACACGCCGAACAATTTTCAATCAAACGACGAAGATGTTGGGTTTCCATCCTCTGTAAAACGAAAGACGACGAGTCGTAAGTCTTTCAAATTGCACACATTTTTTCTTACAATTAAATAATAGCGGTTCTTCTTGTCAAAAACGTTATAATAAATAAACTTTACGTAATTCATAAATTAAAAATGAAATATAAGAATTTACAAATTTTTATGCTTATTTTAATTTGATATTATTGTGAAAGCATTAATTTAAGATTCAAGGATATTAATTCACGCATAATGAAGGAATTGCTTTATTAGCTTAGCTAACTCGATCGCTTAACTTACGTTTAGTTCCAACTCCCTCCCAAGTTTCCTGGTAGCGTTGATTAATTCGTTCAAGGTTTTCACGATTTGATCATCGGTCTGGCAGACTGGAAAACACTTCCCGTGAGAACACGTTAACTGACTTAATTTAATATCCGCTTATCTCACCCACCTCGCTCATCCAGACTTTGGATTCCGATGTCGCCTCTCCTGGGTACTCTTTTGGATGATTCATCTGAATCATACATGTCCGTTGGATAAGGGTATACTTTCTGACCCGAACTACCGGAATACGGACTTCGGCCAGGTCGTTTAGGATTGTTGAAAGATTCGTCAGATGACTCAGTAGATTCGTCTGATGTTAAGGAAGGATTTGTGTTAAAATTATACGAACTCGATCCAGGTTGTTTGCCGTAGCCATACGGATCCGATTTATCGGACTTCGAACCTGATTGTTTGGGTTTATCAGATTTGGAATGTTTTTTGGGGCGAGATATCAAAGATTGTGGAGGACGAGATCCATATGGATAGTCAAGATTGTCCGTTTCACCAGATGGAGAAAACGAATCGGAAGAGTTGTATTCATCGGGTTTGCTTTTGCCTTTTGAATGTCCCGAGTGATCTTTTTTCTTAGGTCGATCGGTAGATTTATTTTGATAGTCTTCATTAGAATCGGTAAATCGTCCTTTTGACGTATCGATTTCGAATACTGAGGGCTGCTTCATGTCAGATAAGTTGTCAGGACATTGCTCTTTCCTCAGCACATCAGTGATTGCAGTCTGATACACTTTTGTTCGGCATTTTCGTTCTTTCAACTAAAAGAATTTTATAACGTGTTTATAAATAAATAAATATTGCTGTTAATCAAATAAATTTTAATTAAACGAATTAGTAAAGTAGATAATACAGTAGAATTCCGTTTATCTACAGTATTTACACAAACAAATTCATGCTTAGGTCCAAATATCCGAACTCGTAGTTGAGTTCCTATTATCCGAACTACGGCGTCGTAGTTATAGTAATAGGAGCCCGATATGCTCGATTTCAATTTTCTGAATGTCAGCTTCTATTATCGGAACTAGTTAATACTGGTAGGGAGTTAGTGAACCCCTATTATCTAAATTATCGGAAACTGTCGTGTTCCCCGACATTCGGATAAACAGAGTTGAATTGTAATAAGTATATCAAGAGAATTGTAATTTTTTATCAAGAGAAAAATTAGCAATATCTTAATTACTGTTAAATTTCTGTCAAAATCAATATGGCGATTTAAAGAATCATTTTTTGATTTTAGTAGTGAAAGATATTCACAAGAATTGAATCGAGAATTGAAAGTAATTGTAGAGTTGTATAATATTGCAAGTCAGAATATAATATCTGGTGGCAGAAATAGGGCGCGAATAATTCATTGAAACGAATTCAATTTATCCGAGTAGTCAGGAATCGTTTTGTCTGAGTTGGGTAAGCCAACCAGGTGCATGTAACAGAAGCAACTAGCTTAGGTCTCGTCAACCATATTTGGAAAGACGTCGTCCCACGTTTGTGGACGTCACGAATAACACGTAAATAAGAAACTGCTGTACGATCGTGAATGAAAAAAGCGACAGCAAGAAATAATATCGGACAAAATTAAGTATACGAAAACAAACGGGAATTTTTTTTGTTTTGTTTTTTCGTTTAAAAAGCAACTTCGGATAATGTATTCACGTTTATGTGTTTTTAATTCCTCGGCAAGCATAAAAAAAAAAGAGTGAATTGTCTCAACTAACATATGTGATAATATATCCAAGATTTATCTAAATTAAAACTTTATGAAAAATATTTTGTGAAAGGTAGAAACTTACTACTTCCACGTATCCTTCTAGAGTGTCCTCGTTCCCAGATATGTGGCGGAAAGTTCTCTTGAACGGTATAGAACCCTTGTAATTACAATCGACGTACACATCTATGCGAGGATTAGGCTGCCTCTGATGTACCAGTAAAATCAGACTCTTCAGAGGAGTGTTCACTTTGACATATGACGCGCTGCGTTGACCCGTATCATCGAGATTCTCAAGTATAACTGGAACGACAAACATTAAATAAATTAAAATAATAATAACGCAGAAGTTCAAAAGATCGTGATTCAGACAAATCTTGGCTCACCGCGTTTTGTTCGTCGATCGATTTTGAGCACTAATTTCGTTTTTCCCAGATATTTCACAGATAACAGAATCTCCACTGAATCATCGGAAGATTTTCTTTTATTCTTGAAGTTGGATATTGCGATAATGAATTCATCATTGTACCAAGCATCCTGCAGACTCGTAGTTAGAGCTGTTGTAAAGCGGCAGAATAAAAAAAAAAAAGATAGCGTAATTAAAAATAATCCTATATTTATATAATAAAAAGCTTAATTGTTAATTAGTAGAAAGTTGTATTTTATTTATACTGTTTAATATACATTTAAAGATATAATATAAAGAATTCTGCGAAAGAATACAAGAGTTGAGTGACCAAGAGTTGATCAATGCACCTAACCGTGAGGACGTCTCATGTATCACCGATCTCACGTTACTACCGGGTTTCTTGTCGCGCCGTGCCGCGAATGGTCTTCAAGTATAGTCAGTATAGTCTAAGAAACGCGACGAAAGTAACGGAAAAAATATTTTATTTTCGCAAAAAGGGAATGCGAATCGGAGTTAACATGATCATCGCTAATTCGTCAACATGGAATTATCCCTCATAAATATTTGTCACTTTCCTTATAATCAAAACCTTTACCTTCGTTATGTATGATGTTACCATCGACGGCGTAGATAATCAGCAGCCCAAAGATCAACAAAATCGGGACCCGCATCCTGATGCGACCCCGATACACTCTGCGCGAGTATTCGGTATCGATCGTGGATTTCCAAAAATTATTAAGTACAACCCTCAAATTTCCTGCAATCCCCTCGGTGTGTCAGTCTCGTCTCTCGTCTCGGAATCGCGATAGATTCTGACGGATACGACGCGCGGATGCAGAAGACACGACTGGAGCGCGGATACGGACTGTCTGCGACTTTATACGTCGCCCACGAATACGGCTTTACAAACAAGATTTTGTACTTACTACCTGCGCCTGATACGTAACGAGCAGAGAAAACACTGACGAATTAAGATGTGTGTGAATCAATATCATAATTATTTTATTATTTTATAAAGACTGCAAATTGCACTTCTAAAAGAAAACGATAGAACAAGAGCGACAGGCTGTTTGAGATTTAAAATTAATCTGCAAACATGCAAACAACGAAAATAAAAAGATAAGAATAATGAAATAAAAATTGCAAATAAAAATCTTTACGTGCGAATATAATTTATATTTAAATTGGACAATCGGAAGAGAACAGTCGGTTGGAAGAATTAATTTACGTTTATTTGTGAAGATTTTGTCTCAAAAATATTATTTATTTAAATGTATATTAATTTTTTGTGAAATTTACATTTTATTACATTATTGGATGCACTTTAATTTTTATTAAACCAATTCTGCAATTCGAAATGAACAGTGGAGTAAGCAAGATATTATTGCCGTATGATCTGGCTGAATGATTAATGGTATCGTCAATACATTACTCCGACATTATTGTGTGCATCCGCCTACAAGATGTTTTTAACGATATGAAATAGTTATAACGGAAAGGTGTGTCAGAGCCGGCGCTAATATAAATTAAACGCTTCCTTCTACGGTGACACGAGGAATTTCTCGGCGAAATCGATTAATACGCAATACTCATTTGCACATTAGCATTTCGTGCTTTTTTTTTTATTTTGAAATGTACTCGTACCTATAAAACTATCATCACATCGCGATATTTATAGACAAGTCACTATAAGGAGATTCTGTAGGAAGGTAGCCAGCTTTTTGCGTTCGTAATTTCGGCTTCTTATTGATATATTAGCTTTTTTTTTATAGCTAAAAAACTACTCCAATCTCGGAGAGAGAGTTTCTGTGACAGGAGTTTAGGTCTTTTCGATGCGACGGACCTTGCAACAGGTATGTAACAATATCGCTGGTGTGCCAGTTACACGTATGTGGGAAGTGGTCCCACCTACACATCCACACCAGTTTCAAACGTAGACACGTTGCAGAAGCCTAGTTTCTTCATGGTGATATACACGGTGTCTCCAAAAAAATTTGCCAATTTTTCATTCAAAATTTAATCTTTGAATTCGAAGATTAAGTAATAGTGAGCGCACAAGCAGCATCCTTAATTCCGACTAACGGCGTTAAATACATGAGCATTTTGCAAATGAGATATTTATGACTTATACAAATTCTCAAGGAACATACAAAAGTCAACCAAAAATCAAAATGACTTTATTTTTATTCTTAACGACAAATTTTCTAACAAAAAGTCAACATTTTGACTTTCATGACAACAAAATAAAGTCACTTTGATTTTCTCTTAATTTGACGTGCTCTTTGGATTATTATAAATTCCTATGTATTTCTTTTAATACTTCTTCATGCTTCGTCCGCCGTTTTGTCACATCTGACGATTGACGATGTTTCTAATTTACAAATAGATTGATTTGTTGTAGCATCGAAGGAACTTGAAAAGTTATGGGCGGAAGATTATAGCTCTTAATCAATTTCAACACAAAATGTTTTCCTTTTACGTCTCGGCACATCATGCTATTTTTCGTTCACGTGATACACGTGCCGTGGCGAACCAGTGGAACGAAAGGGATCGCTTCGGTCTCTAGCGTCATTTCGTCTTCGCCATTATAGATTTCAACCGTGTCGGATGCTGACCGAGACTTAGTGTGGCCGCGCCGTACAATGCAATCAATTTTCCATCCTAATTGACCGACATTACAGATACGATGTACGGGTTAAGTCCGATGTATGTAACTAGCCTGTTATATGTACCAGACTTGGGTACGAAGTCACGCAGATTTAATTCAATTTAGATTGAACTGACGAACGCTACAGAGATGCGTCTATAGATTTCCGGGAAAGAGACGCTGACTCCCTTACCTGTTATGGAACCAAAATACATCATTACGTATACCCATATTACGTTACCCGATCACGCAGGAATAGTAATCTGAATATTATACGCGTGTCGCACAAATTACAATTTTCCTTTTTTTATTTATGGAAAATATACAGACAGAAACACAATAGATTGACCGCGGGCTTATTCTTTAAAAGTTTTTAAATAATGAAAGAGGATTGCGCGATGCAAACACACACATTTCGTTCGATATCTTTTTCCCCCTTATAAAAATATACAGAACATAAACGGTGTATAAATAGCTTACGTAACTTGTTTGCACAACCTTGTGTCGCGAAAGTATATACACATATATAAAAAAAAGAAAGAACACATACTCGACGAAGCACGTTCACGGTTGCATTTGCAACGTTTGCTTATATATCGTAACAAATACATATAAAAACTTAGTCTAGAATCTTCTTTTAAAGGTTCTTATCTAACTTGAAAATAAATACATCTAGAATCAAATGAATACATAGTTCACCTAGGAAAATTTCTGTTTCTTCATCTTCATCGCGTTTCTTCAACTTCGTCAGAGGATCTTCTTCTTCCATCGGGCGCGATTTAATTTGATCGATCACAGTCGCTTTCATCTCGCTTAATCTCATCATGCATCCGATAGAATAAGAGGAACTTTTGAACAACTCTGCGACAGTTTCCGGATAGTATCCGCACGTGGACGTCGTATAAGATGCAACGTCGTATAAGATGCAGTTCGTGACAGCACTACTGCTGAAACTTATTTTCGTAAAAGCACGCAGATATTTAAGCATCGTTGATTTAAACGCATCTATTCGAGCCGACGAGCGTCGCGTTCATTGGCAATCGAGAAGTTTGATGGATAGAGACAGCGGCGTGACCCGGGTCTCGATGGTGGCTGTACGCATCGGCGCCTAGAAAATAGAAATTTCCGTGGAACTTGGAACTGCCGAAGTCCTAAATTTCGTCTAATCGACCGTCTTGGAGCTTGAATGTTTTTTTTTTTTTTTAAACGTCTTTGCGTTTGGTTCGAATATTCGATGTTATTTTTTGTAATTGCGGTTATCATGTATTAGAGTTTTCTTCATTTCTTCAAGAAAGCATCAATGATTACTCATCTATTAATCGTGCATGGAAAACATGCGGATGCAAAATGTGGGGGTGGGGGAGATTTACTTATCAATTAGTACAGAAAAATATCTAATTATCGAGATAAGAAATTACCATTACGATCATGCGATGAACGTCTGTTATATGAAGTTGGAGGGTTAAAAAAAATCGGCAATGTTATTACGAAAATGGTGAAAATGGAATCTCTGGCGTATGCGACAACAGGAAGTTCCACAGTTGTGTTGACGAGCTTCAGAAGAGGATGGGACTGAAACTGTGCCTGGAAATACAGGCAACAGCCAACTGTTAGCTTGAATGCATGAGTAGAAAAAAAAAATGAAAGTGTCAATGTAACTTTTCAATTTTTAGCAAACAATAGCCATGCTCAAGGAAATATGCCTCTTTTTTAATGCAAGCGGTATAGATTCATTTTTGTCTTCGTAAGATGTAAAAATATCTATTGCAATTGCATGAATAACGTAGCATCGACAACACGGGTGAGGGTGGATAATCGAGTTGATGTGACAATTATACGAATTCGTCCTGTATCAAATTCTATTTCACGCTCAAAGTGACGATGAATTTAATTAACATCGGCTGTAAGATCGTTACGTATGCGTGTCAATCTAAATTTTTTAATGCAAAACTTTGTCGATGAAATAATTTACGATCTTATACGAGATGTCATTGAAGTTAATGATGTCTCAGACTAGAAGCTTCATTGAATTGAAGAAAATTTACAGTGTCATAACGTTCGAGATAGATAATACCTACTTTATTTCTTTGACGAATATTGAAGATACCGTAGATGATAGGATTCATGCTGGAGTTGGTGCACGCGAAGAAGAAAAGAGCTCTCTGAATACGTCCGTCGACTTTGAGGGCTGATGATCGATCAATCCAATACCTGTTCGCACGCGTTTGCCGATAAAGATCACAGAATTTAATAGCGAGATTTTTAGTACGGGAAATGTTATTTTTCTTTTTGTATAAGATAGAATTTGCGTATCTATAGCCGTGAATGTCAGTCACGTCAAAGTCGTACATTATGTACGTCAATCGTCGATCTTTTTTATACGTTTACATAATCTGGCGACACTGTCAACTTTTTGAAATGCGTATGTTATTACCAATATCGCGATTGATTTTTAGTCGAGAAAAGTATTTTAGAAATTAAGAGTAATCGCAGACTCACCAAACGCTCATCACGTAATAAGGACTCCAACAGATAATGAAGACAGCGATAATGGTTATCGTCATTTTTAAGGTGCGTACTCGCGCTCGGCTTAGAAAATTGCACGAGGAGCGACGTATTCTATCTGCAAAGAATACCTGTTTAGCATATCGTCATCATGTATTTATTACTATTATTAAATAGTATCTCCTTTCAAATCTGTATTTGTTAAATAAATGTTTTTGTTAAATAAATCAGAAATACATCGAGAAAAAGTTTGGTAATAGCAAAATGTATTTTTGTTTAGCAAATTGGTGTGCAATATTTAAAATATTACCAAACATAATAATAGTAGTCAACCCATGATAATAATTATTAAAAAATATTTAAAAAAGTAAAATTAACGTTTAATTATAGTTCAACTACATGCTAATTTTTTATTACATTAACCGAACATTCGATTGTAATTATTTCATTTAATATTAAATAACTATTACTAGATTCTTTTTCAGTGCACGCGCTTCAAATAATTTTTAGCAATATGAATAATTCTTACAGCGCGATAAATTACATTCGACCGTACCTTCACTCCTCTCCCTGGATCTACGGCAGATCTCCATAAAAATACTGGTGTACGTATAGAATATTACAATCAGGGGGCACCAATACATCACTACCATACCGAACAAATTGTAGGAAACTTGGTGCACGTACGATGGGAAGGTATTGAACGTTATACATTGGGTATAACAAGTGTAATTTGGATGCGTCTCAAGATGGAACACTAACATCTACGAGAAACGAAACATACTGTTTAGCGCCGGTCACGAAGCGAAATGGCATTTTATACAGTTTGAGTAAAAATTAATGCACCTGTGGCATAGAACAAAGTATAGAGCCAATCCACGCAAGCATCAGCAATATCTTCCCTCTCCTGTGAACATCGAATATTTGGAGGGGTCGCATCACGGCGTAATATCTAGAAGATGGAATTACATGTGTACTCTTATCCGAAACGTGCGATTATCCTAAATACAGCAAATCGTGTTAACGTACTCCACAGCAGAAATATCCCGAATATATCATACGGATATCCTATTGAACGTTGCGTTGTTAGGCTGTTTCTATTGTTATATATTAATGATGTAACTTGGACATTTCTGCTGTATGGGATACAATGTTCAATGGATTGGAACTAATAATGAATTTAATTGGATGCACTCACAATCAGTGCTCATCAGTGCATATTAAACCTGTTGTATTGTACACACATAATTGCCGTAAAGATGTGTCTTTGACAGATACAGAAACGAGTTAAACTGTGAAATCCTCAACGCATTTTGTTGTACTATTAAAAAAAATATGTATTTTATAATTCGAAATATTTACATTTTACTTTTATAGTTAGATTAAATCAGTGTACAACTTTTAGGCTTTAATATTGTGCGGTGCGCACTAAAAGGGTCGCAGAATAAACGCGATTTATGGTTATCGTTGTGCTGACCTGTCTATACTTATGCAGATTATTATAAAGGATGAAAGATACAGGCCGAACATCCTGAAGAAAGCCATTATGCGACACATCGCGTCTCCTGCCTCCCAGGATACCGTGCTCGCCCATCCGATTTCGAATGGCATCATCAGGAATGTCACCTGGACAATGACAAGATGCAATATATCCTCGTATCGTTTGCTACATTGAAGCGCAAATCGCGAGCGGTGCGATTACTTTATCACAAATTATTTGCGCCCGCGTCGTTATACTTACAAAGAGGTCAGCGATCGACAAGTGCATTACGAGATTCTGTATCCGGGACTTGGACTTTCGTTTTTTTATTATGGTCAGCACGGAAATATTTCCAATGGCCGATATCACCATTAGGATGCTGTAAGCGATGATCGTCACCAAGTGGCCGTCATTGAAACGCAATTCGATTGGCAATTCTGCGTAAATCGTGCCATTGCACTTGAGTCTCTCCTTGTCCTCGGCCTCGTCTAATTGCATTACGTTCCCCATATTGTTGAAGATCAAATTGTCAATCATCTGAAACAGTCACGTTTGATCTTGTTAAAAGATATATCTTTCACAATCATGTATTTTCTTGATTGTGGAATTACTTCAAAAGTTTTTCCTCATCTAAAAGTTTATAGAATAATAAAAAAAATGTTAGAGACTAAGGCTATTCGTTGTGAATTCGAGATTTCATGCTCAGTTCACTTTTAGCTCGGAAAGTTTGGGAAATAATAGATTCGGGTTATATATATTTGAAGAAAATGTTTAAATGAAATAATACGTAATTATTCGCACGATTATTCAAACAGACGTATCATGAATGTTTGCCAGATCGTATCTGTTTGTGTTTAGTGATTTGGCCTTTAAACGTAATATATAGATAAAGTTACATCAAAGAGTTGTATTACAAAGTGATCTGTGATTTAATACAAAGCTTGGATAACTAATCGCGATTGAAAAATAAAAAATGAGATTGAAACATAAAAAAAAGATTTTTTAAACTTTTATTTTTTATTTATCTACTATATTAAATGTAAAACGCAAAATGATTGATGAATTTTACTGTAAAAATCACTTAGCTTCCCACATTAATTCCCATTTAATTTCTAAAAAAATATTTATATATGAAGAGATATTTAAAAAAAAGAAAATGGTTTTCAGACAGAATATGCTTTTTATGAGGTGTTTTGTATCTTACGAGAAAAAGGGTGGAATCACCTTCACGTTGCAGAGCTTCGGGTTGAATGATCGCATAAATCCTGAATTACATTTTAATCAGCCGGACAGAGCGTGCCGAGTGCAAAATAATATATTTCGAAGCGACATTCGTCGATCGCGATCTACTTGTAATTGTGTCGCCCCTGTGTGCTATTGATAACAAACCCTCATTGTGCGGGGTGTGTTATAATACTGATTCGTTTTACTTCTCGAGTTCTTGCTGACATACAGAAGCTTCGGCGCAGGTCCGAGCGACGTAAGTGCTGAAGCTCGAATGCCCGTTTCTACCAACGTAGTTTAATTTTAATCTTGATCTAATTACCCAAGTAGAACAACAAGTCATTATGATATCAAAATGTTGTCAAAATTACTCCAAAAATGATTATTAAAAGTTATTTTTCAATCATTTTCGATTTATTTTAATGTCATTTTGACGTTATCATGACTTGTTGCTCTCCTTGGGTTAACTCTTCATCTTTTTCTAATTCTAAGAATTAAAAAAGAATGAAGAGTTGAACCGAGATTAAAATTAACCTACATTGATAGAAACGGGCATTAGTCTGCTATTTTTGGTAACTGTTTACGAACTGTTATGTTCTTTGAAAACTGGTCAAGATCGCGCTTAGTTGTTTATTAAGAAGAAAAAAATGAGATAAAATAAAAGAATATTAGAGAGAAAGCAAACTCATATATCTTACATTTCGCATTGCTGCACGAGTTTTTATATTAAATCATCAATGTGGATCGCGTTCCAAAGTACCAAATCTGCCTTACATCATTTGCTTAACACG